GCGAACATCACACGCAAAATACATCCTGCTTATGCAAACGACGCAGTATGATGACATAACAAGCACAGACAACAAACACAACCTCAACTGCTAAGCTGTAAACCTACCTGCGATTGCCTTAAATGTCTAACGAGAGCATGTAAGCTGTAAAACTGGTTTCTCAACATTCTTCCTCAATCCTCACCAATGTACAGTAGCCGAAGCTGCCATTTCTAACAGCCAGACGTCATTATCTGAACTGCACTGCGCTTCAGACTTTCTTTGCCTTAGATAACGTCGACAATGGCAACAACAACGCAACAATCATTTTCAACGCTCACTAAAACGTTTTTAAGCTCCTAACGTATTGCATTACCATTTCTGACCCAGTTTCGCCATTTCTCCATCATATCATATTCCACTACATCAAAGAAGGCGACATGTCCAAAACAAGCATTTCACGTGGGCAGAAAAATTGGCATGCTCAGTCTTCTGTTTTTTCTGTTTCATAGCCAATTACAGCGATACCTTTCCTCCTGTTGGAGGCCTTCCTGTCTGCCTCCTGCCATTAGGCTTGCGATCAGTATCCGCATCACAAGGCGGCCATCGCCCGTTCGTTGGTAATGGACGTAACTCTTAATCGCAGTATTTCCAGCCAGTCGACCACTTTGGTTGGAGATTCAAGTCTTTCTCTTACAACTGCATCTGACACCAGAATGCGCTATTTCATTACTGACCCTAACTTTAAATCTTCCTATACCTCTCCTTTAGTACTTTGTTCTCTGCTTTGTTACGGGCTTTCATCACCCAACCATGCAGCAATATGTTCCGTATATCTGTGGCTTTGTATTATTGAGAGCGTGTCTTCCTTTCCAGAGATTAGTTAATTTGTTGCTCGAATGATAGTGTCCATTCATAGTTCCTATTAACTTTATGTCCGTCTGCATCTAAGGTACTTTCAGGAAACAGATGATTGGTATATTCGTCCACAGCTTCGGTGTAAAGGGTCAGACAATCACTATTCTGAATTTTACCAATTTTATCGACTTAGTCATCGACAAATCGACAAATAAACTAATCCAGTGACCCACGTACAAATACCCTTGTTCAGTAGCTAGGAACAATGATGTTACAGGCTCGAAGCTGAGTGCTAGCAATAACATATCATCCGCACCTGTTGAAAGACCATACGTCTTTTTCATAATGCATAATCGTCGGACGGATTACTCATTTTTCAAAATTTTCACTAGATAACTCCCTGATAAATCCAAGGGCCTGGTGAAATGAACAAAAATTGCAATGAATTCAAATCAGCATTCTCTCCTTCTTCCATTAGTTGTCTTTTACGGATATCCGGTCCAGACATAATCTGTCTATCCTGATTCCAGACTGTTATTTATCCATAATCTTCTCCAGTATCAGTTATTCAAGTTAACACGCCTGAATACTTTAACAGGAAAGGATAGCGGGCTTATTTAAATAATCTATGCCGCAGCTTTTTTCAAGTTTTGAAAAGACAATGCTCATAGTATTGCCTCAGCTCCGTAGTATTTGAGAACATCCAGCGCCAGATGCATCTCGCATCATTTTGTTCGTTGCCGCTACTTAGACTTGCTGCCAACGAGGGCTGGTCACTCTATATACCACCGCCTAAACATCAAAACGTATATTAAATCGCGCAAAACTCATCCAATGTCAGGTTTTAAAATGCATTGCACAGCATTTTGTTTCAAATTACTTAGAGTAGTTGAAGTACTTAGAGTAGTTAAAGCAGGAAATTGCTTCACGGTATGCCAGCACTAGCATCGATGGAGCAGCGGCATCATTAATGGCGTCCATGAGCAAAAATGAGTAAGCAATCAGTGCCACATACAATGAAATCAGGTACTGGATGAGTTATGCACCATTTAATTCATGTAGCTCTGTCATTTTTCTGAACTCATCGGGATTCATTCAACGGTAGCGGCTGGAGTAAATGCCTTCTACTGTACATTGTCCTGCCAAGCACTCCCTTACACTGTATCTTGCAAGACCCTTATAAGGAGTTGGATTATGAAGACCAGTTTCGCCAAAAAGGTCAAAGATTACCTCGAACACCGTTCATCAATTCTGTGATGGGAATCGTCTCAGCTCTATAAGGTAGCGCCATCAGCACTCTATGCGGTTATTCTGTCAATTTAAACGCTACTTTAAGATTTAACATTGCAAACGTTGGAAAACAATCTCTAGTCTTTAATATATCTTTGAACAACAGCTAAAAACACATTTTCGCAAATTTGCATTTCCACAATCTACTGTACCATTAAAATTAAAAACGTTTTCATCTCAGGTGGAGATGCTTTATCTTTCGCATATATGCAAAAAGACCACGCATTTGCAAGCTACTTGTAGAAACAGTTCAAAGAACGTCGTTGTCATTGAACACGATCTATTGATGGTTTAACTACGAAAATACGACCACAGGAATGGAAAATATGATGCTGTATTGACAGGGCGGTTTTGCGTTCACTGACGCATCAAATTCATTCATCCGTGCGAAAGAGGCCGCTTTCGAATGAACCACTTCATAGAAAACCAATCGGCTTCCGAGGTTTATCAGCGCCTCGTTTGATTGGCCAATTCTTCGCTCGTGGTTTCACGCAGTCGTTACGGGGGAAAGCGATAGCGCGATAGAACAACGTGTATTGTGTGCACAACGAAGAATTATTTGCAGAAACGTACGGTATAACCAACTCCTGTCTTTCTCTTAAACGTGATCGATGTTCCTTTCGTCTGGCGCATTTCAACTGCATCAGCCTTTGACATGTTCAAGTATTACAGTCACTGATCGAGAACAGCAAAGTTGAAAATTTTTTGAAAGAGACTGATCTTGATTTTGGTTCCATGATTTACCGGCAAACTGCCATCTGAACACATACTTGGGAAAGCCAAAGGTGAGACAGAGATGAAAATGTTTTGGTAATAATTAGCGCATTTTTG